AGGGGTATTCTCAAAGTTAAATAGAGCCTACAGCGAACAGCTGCCGCAGAGCAGAGATAGTGGCTAAAGGAAAGGATGTATCAGTGGTTGATTCAACCATATAATTAAGACTTTTGACCACATGTCAAGTAAACGCGGGTAAGGCAGACGACGGATAACGGCGCGCTAGGAGAGATGAATGGCTAGCAATAGAGTTCGGAATAGGGCTTCAGCTACTAGCGGATCCTACGGTGGCACAGAATAAGTCAACAAACAGCTAAGCTGTGACGCAAACAATCAAAGAGATGAACATGGTAAGAACGGAGCGAGCTCCGGGTATCCGCAAAGTTAAATGGAAGCTATAACGACTAGCTAGTTAGTGGTTCTAGAAAAGTATGTATCAGAGGCTGGTGTAGCCATATGATTAAGAAGTTTGACCACTACTGGATGCCTACAGTTTCAGTGAATAAATCAACAGACGAGCGCCGAATAAGGAGACAGACGTCAGAGGAAAATGAAGGCTGGAGTGTCAAGTAGTGGATCTTTGCAGGTTACATGGGGCCAACAATGACTAGCTACTGCCAAGAAGAGTGAAGCGACTAAGAAGAACGGCGCATAACGGCGCGCTAGGAGTGAGATAAGTGGCCAGCCATAGAATTCGCATTAAGGCTTCAGGTACTAGTGGATCCTACGGTGGCACAGAATAGGTCAACAAATCAGCTGAGCTGTGACGTAAACAATCCAAGAGAATGAACATTGTAAGAAATGAGCAGCTCCTAGAGAGCTCCGGGTATCAGCATAGTTGAATTGAGGCTATGGCGACTAGCTGCTATAAGCAGAGATAGTGGCACTAGAAAAGGATGTATCAGTGGCTGGTGAAGCCATATGATTAAGAAGTTTGACCACTACTGGATACCTACAGTTTCAATGAATATGTCAACAGACGAGCGCCGAATAAGGAGACAGACGTCAGAGGAAAATGAAGGCTGGAGTGTCAAGAAGTGGCTCCTTCCAGGCTACATGAGGCCAACAACGACTAGCTACTGCCAATAAGAAAATTGCACGAGAGTAAGACGAACAACTGAGAACGGCGCGCTAGGAGAGCGATGAATGGCAGCCATGGAATTCGGATGAAGGCATCAGTTACTAGTGGATCCTACGGTGGCACAGAATAGGTCAACAAACAGCTGAGCTGTGACACAAACATTCCAAGAGAATGAACATTGTAAGAAATGAGCAACTCCTAGAGAGCTCCGGGTATCAACATAGTTGAATTGAGGCTATGACGACTAGCTGCTATAAACAGAGATAGTGGCACTAGAAAGGATGTATCAGTGGCTGGTGAAGCCATATGATTAAGAAGTTTGACCACTACTGGATGCCTACAGTTTCAATGAATATGTCAACAGACGAGCGCCGAATAAGGAGACAGACGTCAGAGGAAAATGAAGGCTGGAGTGTCAAGTAGTTGCTCTTTGCAGGTTACATGGGGCCAACAATGAATAGCTACTGCCAAGAAGAGTGACGCGACTAAGGAGAACGACGCGCTAGGAGTGAGATAAGTGGCCAGCCATAGAATTCGCATTAAGGCTTCAGGTACTAGTGGATCCTACGGTGGCACAGAATAGGTCAACAAACAGCTGAGCTGTGACGCATACATTCCAAGAGAATGAACATTGTAAGAAATGAGCAGCTCCTAGGGAGCTCCGGGTATCAGCAAAGTTGGATTGAGGCTATGGCGACTAGCTGCTGCTAAGCAGACATAGGGGCTCTAGAAAAGTATGTATCAGAGGCTGGAGTAGCCATATGATTAAGAAGTTTGACCACTACTGGATGCCTACAGTTTCAATGAATATGTCAACAGACGAGCGCCGAATAAGGAGACAGACGTCAGAGGAAAATGAAGGCTGGAGTGTCAAGAAGTGGCTCCTTCCAGGCTACATGAGGCCAACAACGACTAGCTACTGCCAATAAGAAAATTGCACGAGAGTAAGACGAACAACTGAGAACGGCGCGCTAGGAGAGCGATGAATTTCAGCCATGGAATTCGGATGAAGGAAAACAATTTTAAGGGGGCGAGTCTTCGGGGCATCTTCTTGTTTTTTTCACAAAACGGAAGGCAGATACGGTGTTTCTCCCCTTCTAGCCTTCCAAAAGATAACAGCAAGATCAATCTCTTAAGCAGTGTTTGGACATCTAGTATTCTTTTCGCAGGGGTTTCCTTTTCCTATAGTGCTGCGTCCATTGGGACTGGACACCGGTCGCGAGATTGTTGGTTGCGCTCGGGAACGTGTAGCTTGCTAAGGGATAGAGTTCCCTGACTAGTTTCTCCAGCTCGGGTAACCTGTCGAGGACTAGCTTCATTTAAGACGGAGATGATAGCACAGGTTTGGGCTTCACGACGGGCTTAGGCCTATCCTTGGCGCCCCTTGTAGTTGGGGTTTTGCAACTAGGGACGGAGAGCGCGCTTCCCTCACAACCGCCGCATAAAATCTTGTTGTGGGCTCAGTAGGCAGGATCTTGGAGGTGGATCCGTATGAGTAGTGGCTGGGGTTAGGCTTCGCTTACAAATGGGGGTGATCCAACCGGAGGTTGACGGTGAGGGTGAGCATGGTGTAACAGATGAAGCGCGAATAGCGTCAGGCTTCGTCTGAGAAGAAGATCAAGGCTCAAAGCAGATAGTCCGGCGAGAAGACGCCTGCTATTAGGTGAAGTACGACAGTTATAGTAAAAGAACTAAATGGCTGACGAGGTGAAACCCAGCAAGAGCACATAGTGCACAGAACAGCTACAGCAGCAGGCAGTGTGCATCCATCCATCACACTTAGAGTAGTGCACTGCTTTTGAACGAGTGGCGATACTTTTCATGCAGAACAAGCATTTGGACGCCATGGAAGATGAAGTCCAAATATTCACTAAATGATGCGCCAAAAACCACCTTGATCCTCTTTTCTTCGCTCAGGAGACATCGGCAGAAGGCAACACTCAATCTACATATATATACGTTTATATAATATTTGAAAAATGCTTGCGCCTTGTCTTGCGTGTTCAGCCAATATCACCAAAATGTTATTTCAATGGTTAATTTAATGTTTTATGCCTTCTCGGTGAGTTGGATCCTTAACCATCGCCTAGTTCTGACGACTTGCACCATTTGTTCCTCAAGTCTGTGGCTCAGTACATAGCTGCACCTATCACGCAGGTTTTCTATCGATCGTTTCAGTCCGGTCTTCTCCCGAGCGCTTGGAAGATGGGCATCATCAAGCCCATATCCAAAGGAGGAAACCGGCAAGGCCCAGCTAGATACCGGCCCATTTGCCTTGCATGGATAATGCGCAAAATCATCGAACGGGTCCTGAAACGGGAGCTTCGGATGCATCTCGTGCGGATACATCTGATTTCCAGTGCAAAGCAAAGCTCGCTCCTGCTCTACCAACTTGCTTATGGCTAGAGAAAAATGGGCAAATTCATTGGATGTTGGAAAACGTCTGGATGTTGTGTTCGTGGGCTTCAGTAAAGCTTTTGATAACATCCCGCATGAACAGCTTCTCTACAAACTCCGATGGATCGGTGTCACTGGAAGCTTTCTCTCGTGGATTTCCGATTTCCTGCACACTCGTTCCATGCTGGTGCGAGTGAACGAAACGTATTCCTATCCTGTGCATATGACCAGCAATGTTCCACAGGGCTCCGTCCTTGGCCACGAACTCTGTAACATCTTCATCAACGATCTACTTTCTGAGCTTCAATCGGATTGCTTGATTTATGTGGATAAACTAAATATATGGAAGGAGGTATCCTTGCTAGAGGATGCTGATCGACTACAAGTGACGCTCGATCTCCTGCATAATTGGTCGATTCAATGGCGCTTACCCATTAATCAAGACAAATGTTCCGTCCTGCCTATCGGCGCTCCTGAACCATTCGGCGTTTACCACATAGGTGCTTTTTTGCTCAAAAATGTCACTTCAGAGAGAGATCTGGGCGCGCTTGTTTCCCCGGACTTAAGATCCACTCAGGACACCATGAAGAGGGTTGCCGCTGCCTACGGGATGTTTCATGCCATCCGAAGAGCTTTCTGTCGCTTGACACCGGAAATTTTTAGACTTCTGTTCACGTCGCATGTGCACCCGATTCTGGAATACGGCATCCCTGCTGCCTACCCGCTTTCCAACATTGCGCGCGACATGATCGAAAAGATCCAACGGCGTGGGTCGAAGTATGTCTCCGAGTTATGTAACCTGCCGTATCTCCTTTGGCTTCGACATTTGCATACGTTTTTTATGGATAACCGTCGCCGGCGTGGGGACTTGCTTTTTACCCGCCGTATCTTAGGGGAGAACTAGGGAGGGTCGCAGGAATTCTTCCACCTCAACATCGGGAGCTGGACTAGAGGCCACCAATGGAAAATATTCAAACTACGGAGGCTCCAAGTACGGTCCATTCTTGCTCTATCCACTCGCGTTATGAATATTTGGAACCGGTTAACGCCGCCGGTCGTTGATGCACAGACGGAGGATTGCTTCAAACGACTACTAGATTCACACCTGTCGAATATGCCGCGATCGTGTTGCTTCAGCTACGAGTGTGCTGACCTCTCCGGAGTCTCCGTTGCGCAATGATTAGCATCCCAGTAATGATCGGTTAGCGATGGAGCTGACATGGGACCTCCCCTCCTGCTCTCTACCACCCAATGAACAATTACTTTTTCTTATCTTTACAAGAATTTGTTTCTTTTAAATTAACTAATTTTTCAATTTATTTCTTTAGTACATTCATTCATGCTATATATCCATCTGTGAACGCTCAGCTGCTACTGAGAAAGCCGGCTTCAAATGATTTCCCGCTAGTCAGTTGGTTATGGGTTCCGAACGTTAATCAAATAAGCCTCGTCGATTTATCGCCATTTCAAACAATGAATACATGCATATACTATTCAAACGCAACAGGTTGCTTTTGTAGTCAGAATTTCATACCGATGAATTTAATGTACTTAATCCTTATTCAGGCGATGACCAACATATAGATTGGCGTACCCAAGCGCAACGCCCGCGTACTGTTACTTTTCCTTGAGACAATTTGGCACTCATTTTGCGTTTCCTAGTAGATCTTCCCTACCTATTTTTCTGCAGTGCCAGCGTTTACCGCTGTGCGTTCCCGCTGCTCCTTTGTCAAACTACTCGCTATAGCGTTTTAAGACTTTCAGAATGCCGTTCATGCAAAGACGAGTGTATAAAATGGACAAGATGCAGAAGGCAGAGGAGAGAATCAAGTCTAATCCGTGGGATATTGAAGCTTGGAGTGTGCTCCTTCGGGATGCGCAAAGCAAAAAGATCGAAGATGCTCGAGAGGTATTTGAACGCATCGTTAGCCAGTTTCCCTTCGCTGGGCAGTATTGGAAAATTTACATCAACCAGGAGGTACTGTTCATCTTTCTTTTCATACCTTGTTAGATGAAGGCCAAAAACTATGAGCGCGTAGAAAAGCTCTTTCAAAGAAGCCTAGTGAAGATACTAAACATTGAATTATGGAAGCTTTACTTGCAATATATAAAGGAAACCAAAGGGAAGCATCACGCTTTCAAGTAACTCCTGTCTTGTTTAACCTTCTAGAGAAAAAATGGCGCAGGCATACGATTTTACACTAGACAAAATGGGACTCGACCTCAACTCTTACTCAATCTGGGCTGATTACATCTCATTTCTAAGATCAACGTACGTTTTTAGCCACCACCTGCATCATGGATGTGCTGCACACTAGCTTTTGTATAACCTCTTGAGCTACTGTTACTTGTCTGTTGGTGACTATAAATCATTTTTTATCATCCTATTAAAATAACTGAATAGGTAACGTGGTTCTGCAATTCCAAGCGTATTATCATTTTGTCAGCTTTCCGCAGGACTTACTAACTGGAACCATCTTGCAGATAACAGAAGTCGCACGTCATAATTCTCGTTTCTCATGACCTGTTTTGGGGTTTCATATCAATATAGCGGCTAGGAATTTTTCCCACCTTGAGTCGCTTATCCAGGACCTTCTGTGTACTATCGTTACTAAACGTTATCTCAGCGTGCTGCTCTACCTGACGCTTGTAGACATGTTCGGTGGATGAGACAAGCGTTTCCGAATGTAAGGCACAATATAGCTTAGAAAATTGTTGCCTTTGTTTTTTTATATTGCAAACTAGGTCTTTCAAGTGTAAGAGCACAAACTATATTCTTTGTCAGATCTGTCAATCCCCATTCACTGTGGATTGGATGTGTCGTTGCGTGAAAACTTTCCACGAGGCTTCGTTGTAGCGCTGGGAGTAAGCTCCCTGCATCCTCATCGATTTGTTTGTCGCACAATTTCAGGGTGCACAGTTTCCTGACAGCCTTGTACCCTGTGTAGCTTTATGTCATTCGCGTGGTCTTATGGCGGTCTTACGGTATCCGTCACTTTTTCATTGGTTATCTGATTTCTTTCTCATCGCTTAAACCCTACTCCGATTGTTCGTCAACCATGTCTTCCGATAGGTTATCTCAGTCATTTACCACCCAGGTGAATAGGTGACTTCCGAGCAAACGTGGAGTCTTCTTGATATGAACAGATTTCATTTGTTTCCTCATATCGAACAGTCGGCATTTAGTTGGAAGAACTGTTGTAACCCACCTTTCTCTCGGAAGATGTCTAGTGTAGGTGAGATCATCCGGACGACGGTGAAACTCCATAGGTAATAAGTTCAACTACTGCCGTCGAAGGAAATAGGGGAAATAACGAATCCCAAGTTATTTTGTGGTTCACCTCGACCACTGACCATAAACTAAACAGCTACAAATATTTCCTTATTGTATCGGCCGCCGTGCAGTGGGAGGGGAATCTGTCGCCTTATCTGCTGCATACAACGGGATGCGTAAGCGATAACACGCTACCACTGGTTTCTTTCTTCCTCTCTTTTTCCTCCATCTTCCCACCTTGGTCTCCAGTTCACTTGACCCACCGTACTTATCCTAACTTTCACTTCGACTCCAATTCCCTAATCCAGCAATTGACAGGCGCAGTCGTTTGCCTCTACGGAGGGCGCTTAAGATCTGATGCTGGAATGTGCGCATATTCATGGACCTAAACACAAATTGGCGCATCGAGCGACGCACTGCACTAGTTGTCATAGAACAGGCAATACCGTATTATTTTACTGTCATCATCATCATCATTACACGTTAGCTAGAGGTGGAAAACACCTCAGCTATTGTGCCGCAATACAAAAGGCAAGAAAAGAAAAACAAACAGTGGCACGCCCGCTGAGTCCCCAGTAACGGATGGACATCGTTCCGGAGAGCTAACAGCTGGCTGCCGTAAAAGAAAGTCATATTATGTCTAACGATTGAGATCGTGATTTGAGGGGGATGCTAAACAGGAGGGAGATGGACAAAGGAACTCACAACACAAACGCCTTTGGGGCCGGCTCCAAGCCATATCAGCAAGTGTGTCCAACCAAACGTGTTCACCATCCTTAGGACCCCGGCCAGGCAGTCGGGATGCACCAACCGACGCCAACTTCGAAGTGAGGGTTTTCATTTCTCTCGACCTAGTCATCACTTGGCCTCCCCTCCTCCTCTTCCAACCGCACCCACAACGCGCAAACAGTGCACGTCGCGGGAGTCGGTGTGCTGGCATGCGCAACACGTGGCCCAGCCATCGGAGCCTGGTGCGTGATATAATGGTGCTGAGCGGTTCACTCGCCCTTCCTGTACCAAATACGCGACGTCGAACACGCTCATTGCTCACGCGGTGTTCCCACCAGACATGAGCTAAGCTGCGAAGGCAGCGATGATCGAATGTGACGAGCTTCTTCATGTCTGTCGACCTGATGGGCCAGGTTTCACAGTACTTATTGTGACTCGGCTGGCTGACCATAACGAGCTGCACGAGCATTGTTCTGGCTGCATGCTCTATTAGGTGGGAAACGCCACCACAGCACCACGTGAACATGAGATCGGATTTGCTCTTTTCTACTGCCTAAATGGCCACCTGGTCGGAAGCCGGCTTACATCAGGCAAACATTGATGACACTTTGCCTACGCCCGGATGAGTTATGTTCGCAAATTTTATTGGCACGTATGGTTCCACCATGGGTTCTAATGCCAAAAGATCAGTTTTTCTTTCATTTGTTCTTGATACCATCCGTGCTGAGGAGCGCTTGACTATTTCTGTTGCATGCTTCCCATGCGCGCGTTGGACGTGATCTTGCGGTGTAGGCAGACGTGATCAGACCCTTTGTCATCGGTACGACTAACATGAGCGCTAACCGCCTGCTTTCGCTGTGATACACATGGCCTAACCATCACAAGCACACATTTCCCACTGGGTTCCAGTAATGTTGCTAGTTGGACGCATCCAACAACTGGTCACGCTTACCTACTCGACTTTGTCATAGTACGCAGATTCGACGTGTGTGAAGTGCGCATAACACGTTTATTGTGTGGAGCTCAATGCGAAATTGATCACAAGCTGTTGCGCAGCAATTTGCTCATTTATTTTTGTAATCACATGTATTGGAGTATGCTGACGACATTGCCCTCATCTGTGACAGCTCACAAACGTGCTAGGCAGCACTAGACCGATTAACACTGGCTGTCAGTCGTTTCGGGCTTCATTTCACACCCTCAAAATTCGTCGCTTCCCCCCATGATTAGCAGGGACGCCTCCTGCGTTGACCATTTGTGTGAAGGATCAGCTAGAAGTCTTTCAGACATTCAACTCCCTAGGCAGTTGTATTAGCGCCTGTGGAATCAAAGACGAAGTCACGAACCATAAAGCAAAAGCTTGAGTCGCTTTTGCAAACTTTCGTCACCTGTGGCGCCGGCGTGACACCATTTTCTTCTTGAAGGGTCGGGTGTCCAATACAGCCGTACGTTCGTCCCTACTGTACAGTTGTGAAACCAGGTCCATTAGATACGCAGATGTAAAAATGTTAGTTGCGTTCGACCACTGGTGCCTTCGCAGTTTGGATCCTACCTGGTAGTAACACCGCGAGAATAATAAGTTTATTCGGCGCCTTGTTTATGACACAAGAAGAGGAAGCAAAACGCTCAACACCGTTATTTCACACACCAGGCTCCGGTGGCTGGCCCATGTGTTGCGCATGCCAGAACACCGACTTCTGCATCGCGAGTTATTTGCCCGACCGGAATATGGATGGAAGGAAAGGTGGGGTTCCCAGGCGATGACTTTGGCAAGATGTATGAAGGTCTGTAGTTCGAAGTTAGCCTCGGTTGATGCCTCTCGGCTCACCGGTTGGGGCCCGAAAGATGGTGAATACCTTTGTCTGGATACACTTGTTGACATGGTAATGAGTTGATCACAGTAGCTTTTGTATTGCTTTTTTGACCTTCCTTTCCCACTTAACTTCCCGCATCTCACCACGATCTCATTTCCTAAGCATACTATGATTCCTTTTTGCGGTACAATAGCCGGCTGCTAACTCTCTGGAACGATGCCCATCTGTTACTGGTGGCTCGGCTGGCGTGCCAGTTTTGTATCTTTTTCCTTTCTCATGTATTGCGTGACAATAGCTGAGGCGTTTCCCACTGGCTAACGTGCGTAATATTGATGATGATGTTCCCTTGCCGCGAACTGGCGGCAATTTGTGACCACTTCTCCAGATACTGTTGAGAAGAGTATCGAACTGGAGAATGCGATCTCTATCCGCCATAGTGATATCTCCTTCAGTCCTTCAATCAGCGACCTATTCCACCACCTTAAGGAGCAGCTGGTCACTGCAACTGTGGGGACGGTCAGATGCGCAAACTATACACGGTTCGGTTGGTTGGGGGACAACATTGCGACCATTGAAACATTGGTGTCAGAGCAGAGTACAGTTTTTACTACACATACGAGAAGATACTGAGAAGATAAGCTTCACGAAATGCGTAGATCTATGACTTGGGAGCTCCGTCGCATCAAGAACGCTTGGTGGGTGGAAAAGCCGAAGCAGATACAATGCTATGCTGAGCGTCGTCAGCAAAAGGATTTCTATGACTCTGAAGGTTGGGTTAGGACCCACGCTGGTAGATGTTACTTCGTGTGCTGTCCGCACACAGACTGCATACATGCAGAGATGGCGCAATGCCTTCGATTACGTCTTGAACAACCGTTCAGAAATCGAAGGGATACGTTGCATCGGCTGCAATAATAAGAGTTGAAGGACGGTCTTGTGACGCTCCGAGACTGTTCGAATCACAGATTCCACTTGCTCAACTACGAAATGGCAAGTATACCTGTGCCGATGGGATACCGCCAGAAGTGCTGAAAAACTGCGGACCCGCTGTGATACATGCGCTGCAGCACTTGATAGAGCGCGTTTAGTTTGGGTATCAAGTATTCGCCAAGCTGCCCTTGTGCTACCACTGCACAAGGGCCAAGAGCGAGCTATGTGACAACAAGTGCATGGCATCAAGTTGCGTTGGGAAGCCAATTTCTTAAACCCTGCCCAACCACCTCGTCACAGCTCTGAACCGAACGTGGCTGAAGAGCAATGCGGCTTCCTTTCGGGCATCAGTATCATCGGATTGGTGTTCCCAGCATGTCGATTGCAGAAGTACCGTGGGCGAAACTAGCCACTGTACTCACTGTTCATCGACTTCACCAAAGCATTCGACACAGTGTACCGCGAGGCTTTGTGGCCAATTTTGGTGAAGTTCGGTTGACCACGTAAAATTACTAGTTTTATAGA